CACTCACCCTTGGTTGTCTGTTGGGTCCTAGCTTTGCCTCCCTAATTACGAGCTTCATAGTGTTTCTGTTACATGGCATTACTTGAGAGAGGTGGTTAAACATTAACTTGTAAAAGGAGATGGTCAGGGGCCTGCATTGTGGCACAGTGAGTTAAGGTGCTGCCTGCAATGTCAGCATCCCATTACGGCAAAGGTTTGTACCCCAGCTGCTCCACTTCTGATCTGGCTCCCTGTTAAGGTGCCTGGGAAAGCAGTGGAAGATGGCCCAAGTCTCACCCAAAGATGAAGCTTCTGGCTCCTGGTGTCATCTTGGTTCAGCTGTGGCTGTTGCAGCCATCTGGGAAGTGAACCAGCAAACAGAAGATCGATCTCTCTCTCTTTCTCTCCATCTCTCTCTTTCCCTCTCTGTTTTCCCTCTCCCTCTGTAACTCTGACTTTCCAAATAAATAAATCTTTAAAAAGAAAATCAAGTCATACAAGGAGATGGCCAAGCAGCGCCACTGTGAGTAGTGACTTCCCCTTAGGGGCTGTGACTGACACAGAACACACAGGGCTGGGTCGCCCAGGGCTTCACTTCAAGACAGGAAAGTTCACTGACGCCAGCTTAGATAAAACAGAGGACCAGAGACTTGAACTCTACAGAAGTTTGTTGGCTTTGTCCCCAGGCTGGTGGCCAAGTCAGGCAGGAGCCACCAGGTCAGCTCCACCCAACTCTGACACCAGAGAAAGACTGACCCTTGCTGTCTCCTGGGTAAGGTTTCTGGCCTCATTTGGGTCAAGCCTGTATTGCTGGCAGGGTTCAGAGGGCAACAGAGGACTACGCATGCCCAGCTGGAGTCAGGCGCCCCACCCCAGGGGTGGGATCTAGAAGAGCACGGGGACTTGCTGTGAAGGGTTGGGGAAAGGCCAGTTTCCCAGATGGGTGGCACCTGTTCTAGATGGAAAAGAACAGCAGGGGGCTGGTGCTGTGGCACAGTGGGTTAAAGCCCCAGCCTGCAGTGCCAGCATCCCATATGGGTGCCTGTACAGGTCCTGGCTACTCCACTCCCAATCCGGCTCTCTGCTATGGCCTGGGAAAGCAGTAGAAGATGGCCCAAGTGCTTGGGCCCCTGCACCTGCGTGGGAGACCCAGAGGAAGCTCCTGGTTCCTGGCTTCGGATCGGCCCAGCTCCAGCGGATAGAAGACCTTTCTCTCTCTCTCTCTGGCTCTACCTCTCTCTCTAACTATGTCTTTCAAATAAATTAAATAAATAATTAAAAAAAAAAGGAACAGCAGGCCCCTTCAGGCCTAGCCAAGTGCCTGCCCCAGGAGTTCACAGCCTGTGAGCTAAAGTCTCCAGGATGCCTCAGCAGCTCTGCTGGTCAGCCTTTGACTCTGATTACAAGGGAACAAAAGTGGGAGGAGCTTCTCCAGCCAGGACAGGGAGGTGAAGGCAGGTTGGGAGGGGCAGTTTGCAGTTGTATTTCGTTTCATGAAACTCGATACTCCTCCAAGTGTGATCATAAATTTTTTTAAAAAATATTGAAACCAAGGCTAATGAAAAGAAATAATGAAGGGAGTACACCTGACCGGCCAGTAAAGAACTCAAGGCCCCAGCTGCATTCAGACTGGAGTTTTTATGGATCTGGGTATTAGCCCTCTTCCCTCTCCCTGTCTGGAAGTGCCTTGTTTTTTTAACTCGTTCATTTTAGTAAACTTTCATTCAGCATCAAGCCAGGTACTGTTTTTGGTACGGGATGGGGATGCAGTGATGAAAAAAATAGACGTGATCTGGCCAACAGATCTATACTCCAGAGGGAGGTGTGCTTTAGTTGTATTATTGGATATAATTACAAGATCTGGTTTGAAGGATCAAGGAGGGCTTCCTGAAGGAGGTGATATCTATGCTGAATTCTGAAGGATGTGTAGGAGCCAGCCAGGCAAATGCCAAGGGGTGAGGAGTCAGTGGCTAAAACTCCCCAGGTAGGATCACTTACTATGCCAGTCAACAATGTGCTCAGGGATCAGCAAAGCAGAGATATCAGAAAGTGAGAATAAAAAAATACGCATTTATCTGAGAGACAGTGGGTGGGTGGTGGTAGAGGGGCGATCACTTCCCAACTGCCCAGGAATCAGGATTTCAGTCCAGATCTCCCAGGGGGACAGCAGGAACCCAATCCCTTGAGCCATCACCACTACTGTCAGGGTCTGCATTAGCAGGAAGCTGGAGTCAGGAACCAGACCAGGGAATGGAGTCCAGGCACTCTCATGTGAGACACAGGCATGTTTACGGCTAGGCTAAACTCTTGTCCCGGGAGAAATCATGTAAGAATTTGAGAGGCCAGCACTGTGGCACAGCAGGTAAAGCTGCTGCCTGCAATGCCGGCATCCCATATGGGCACTGGTTCAAGTGCCAGCTGCTGCACCTCCGATCCACCTCCCTGCCAATGCACCTGGGAAAGCAGTGGAAGATGGCCCACGTGCTTGGGCCCCAGTACCCGTGTGGGAGACCCGGAAGAAGTTTCTGACTTCTGGTTTCAGCCTGGCCCAGCACTGGCTATTTGCGACTATCTGGGGAGTGAACCCACAGATGGGAGATCTCTGTCTCCCCCTCTCTCTGTAACTCTGCCTTTCCAATAAACAAATATTTTTTAAAAGAAAGAATTTGATATGGAAGAGCACCCAAGTGCCCAGCATAGGAAAAGCCAGAACACAGGGTCTTCCATCCACATGCTCCACAGAGAAGCAGGCTGTTTAAAGTCATATATTTCCTATGCTTAGGCCACTAACCATCTTCCGGAAGTGTCAGGGCCTGAGCCGAGTGGCATGTCTACAGCCTCCCCTTTCCTGGCCCTCCCATGCCCTCTCCCTCCCTCTCCAGTTCCTTCCCCTCCAGGCTCAGCCCCTCTCAGCACCTCTCCCTGCAAGCACCATCCCTAGTGTCTCCATTAAAATTTCTTGCCCTTTTATGCCTTCCCTCGGGCACCTCTAATCCAGTAGTAATTACCATACAGTGTATAAATTACTCTCATAACTGCTCCGACCAGATAACCTTTCATAGATGGCAGGATTCCACTGCAATCAATATTAATGACTGCCACGTGTCCTAAGAATTCAGTCTTCGTTTTGATTTCTTTTTCAGTCATCCTCATTGCAGCGGCTGGGCTATGACAACATGAGTGATGGCTAACCATCTGGCTGGTTTCCAAGGTGCCAGGCACTCCCTGAAGCTCTTTGTACTAGCTCATGCCTCCCAATGACCCAAAGTACGTGAGGAAAGTCAGCAATCCGCACACAAGCACACTGAGGCATGCAGACATGATGTAGCCCGTGGGCCCAGGATCATTCAGTCCGTAGTTAGCAGTACCAAGATTTGCAACTCAGCGCTCTACTCCAGAGCCTATCCCACCCTCCACTCGTTATCGAAGCCAGCCATCCAGCAGTGACCCTAATTCTTCACTCCTTTTTTGGTCCCAACATGCTCTACTCTAGGATGGGCATTTGTAGTAGCAGTTAAGATAACAGTTGGGAGGCCAGCGCTGTGGTGTAGTGGGTAAAGCCGCAGTCTGCAGTGCCGGCATCCCAGATGGGAGTCAGTTCAAGCCCTGGCTGCTCCACTTCCAATCCAGCTCCCTGCTATGGCCTGGGATAGAAGTAGAAGATGGCCCAAGTTCTTGGGCCCCTATACCCATGTGGGAGACCTGGAAGAAGCTCCTGGCTCCTGGCTTCGGATCGGCACAGCTCCAGCCATTGCGGCCATCTGGGGAGTGAACCAGCAAATGGAAGGTCTCTCTCTCTCTCTCTCTCTCTCTCTCCTTCTGCCTCTCCTTCTCTAACTATGCCTTTCAAATAAATAAATCTTAAAAAAAAAAAAAAAAGATAATGGTTGGGACAGCCGCATTCCATAGCAGAGGGCCTGGGTTCCAGTAATGGTTCTTTAAATAGAGAAAATTAACCCACTAGGGTTACTGTGTGACCGAAATAAGAAAACGTGTATCTTGGAGCTGGCACTGTGGTGCAGCATGTTAAGTTACAGCCTACAATGCCAGCATCTCATACAGGCACTGGTTTGAGTCCCAGCTGCTCCATTTCCAATCCAGCCTTCTGCTAATGCACCTGGGAAAGCAATAGAAGGTGGCCCAAGTGCCTGGGCCCTAGCTACCAAAGTGGGAGACCCGGAGGGATTTCTAGGTTCCTGGTTTCAGCCTGGCCTACCCTTGACTGCTGTGGTCATTTAGGGAGTGAACTAACAGGTGAAGATTCTCCCTCCATAATTCTACCTTTAAATGAAGTAATAATTTTTTTAAGAAAACCTGCATTTAGCATTCAACTGAGTGCTTGATACACAGTAAATACATAATAAATGCAGTGACTTTCATGATTTTTCAAAGGAAACAGCACAGTAAGAACTGTCTTTATGGAACTGGCATTGTGGCGTCATAGGTTAAGCTGCCACCTGCAACGCCAGCATCCCATATGGATGCTGGCTCCATGTCCCAGCTGTTCCACTTTGAATCCAGCTCCCTGCTGATTGCCTGGGAAAGTAGCATAATCCATATGGAGATGTGGGCGGAGCTCTAGGCTTACTGACTTCAGCCTGGTCCCATCCCAGCGGTTGTGGCCATTTGGGAGTGAACCAGCAGATGGAAGTTCCATATCTGTGTCGCCATCTCTCGCTCTGTAACTCTTTCAAATAAATAAATAAAAATAAACCTTTAAAAAAGAACTGTCTTCCAGAAGATTAATCCTACCACATTATAGTAAACAGATTAATGAGAAATTGCAGACAAAGGTACGGACCAATTTGGCAAAAGCCCAGCAGTTTAAGCAAAAAGCTAAGGAAAGGAGAAAAGCCTGTGGCTGCCCTTCCCCCCTAACGCAGATTTTTCCTTGGGGCCTGCACAGCCCTAGAGAGGAGAGCTTTTGCTGCTTTTTCAAGCTAATCCCGGAGGTTTGAGTCATCTTTGTATACGAACTCGCCTAACCCATGGGGAATCGTGATGTATGTTTTTAATATTCTGATTAACACATCGTAACAACGTAGGGATTTAAAATGTGGTGATTATGCGGTGTTTCTTTCTTTAGTGGTGTTTCTTTTTCTTTCTCCCAGGATTAGTGGTGTTTCTATAGAGGAAGGTGGCGTGTAAGGCTTTGGTAATTTCAGGCTTATTTATATATTCAGCTTTAAAATCATTTTCTTCAATGCCTGCTCATGTAATAATTCAACAGACAGCAATGGAGACTTTATGGGCTAAACCCTGCAAACACATCAGTGAACACCAGGTCTTTGCACTAAGTTTATATTCCAAATACATAAAATATTCAAAGTCCATTTATTCAACAAATATTTATGGAGCACCTACTACATTCTGGGTGCTATTTCAGATACTTGGTCTCATTCCTTATCAAAACAAGCACAATTCCTAGTCCTCACACAGCTTACATTCTAGTAGGAGGAGATGGATGAGAAACCATAAATGTAAGAAATAAGGAAATTATACAGTATGTTAGAGTGTGGTATTATTTGAAAAAAAAAAAAAGCAGTGAAGGGAGAGTGGGGTAGGTAGGTGGAACTGCAGCTTGTAGGTGACTGATTTAGGTTGGTCTCCAGGACACAGAGGGAAATGAGGGAGTGATGAGTTATGTGGATATCTAAGCAACTAAGGTACTAGGCAGATGTTACAGTCAGTGCAAAGGCCCTGAGGCAGGGGTGCCCCTGACAGAAGCAAAGGCTGCAAGGAATAGAGTGAGCAAAGGAGAAAGGACAGGAGGAGATAAGGTTACAGGGGGGAATGGGGAGGGAGGATCATAGATCCCACGGAGTCTTGTCTAATGAAGCGGCCATCATTCACCTGTTAAAGAAATCAAATGCACTGAATATATTTCTTTAATTTTCAATAAAGGTTTATTTATGTACTTGAAAGGCAGAGTTACAGAGAGAAAGAGAGGAAGAATCATTTGTTGGTTCACTTCCAAAATGACCACAAGGGCTGAGTATGGGCCAGGCTGAAGCAGCTCCACCCTTGTCTCCCACATGGATGACAGGAGCCTTCCCCGGTGAATTAGCAGGGAGAAGGAGCAGAAGTGGAGCAACCTGGATTGGAATCAGTGCTAATATGGGACGCAGGCACCACAGGCAGTGGTTTAACTCGCTACGCCACAACTCTGGCCTCTCTTTTTTACTTTTTAAAAATTATTTATGCAGAGGAGAGCCAGCTCCCATCCTCTGTTGGTCTACTCCCCAAATGCCTGCAATGGCTGGGATGGACACAGGGTCAGAAACTCGATCCAGGTCTTCTACATGGGTAGCAGGGACCCAACTACGTGAGCCATTACTGCTGCCTCCCATAGTCTGCATTAACTGGAACTGGAGACCAGAACCAGGAATCAAACCCAGGCAGTCCAACACGGATATGGGATGTAGGCAACCTTTTTTTTTTTTTTTAAAGATTTATTTATTTGAAAAATGACAGAGAGAGAGAGAGAGAGAGAGAGAGACAGACAGACACAGAGATCTTCCCTCTGCTGGTTCACTCCCCAGATGGCTGCAACAGCCAGGGATGGGCTAGCCTGGAGCAAGGAACTTCATCTGGGTCTCTCACATTGGTGGCAGGGACCCAAGCCCTGGGGCCATCCTATGCTTTCTCAGGCGTATTAACAGAGTCCTGGACTGAAAGCAGAGCAGCTGAGACTCAGATTGGCACTCTGGTGCGGGATGCTGATGACTCAGGTGGCGGCTCACCCTGCTGGGCCCCTACACGGGCTTCTTCATCAGCGTCCTAACCGCTAGGCCAAAGGCCCACCCCTGAGTGTATTTCTTCCGAGCATAGGACAGCTGTGCTGGGCCAAGAAACCCGTCGCTCTTGAGCAGGGCTGGGGAAAGCCTGGGGTTCCCAGGTTGGTGGACTCACAACAGCTGGGCTGCTTGGAGACCACCTGACGTTCAGCCGGGGGCTCACCAGCTCGCTTTCAGCAACACGGCACCACGTGGGGAGACGGGCACTGATCGATTAAAACAGATTCTGGCCATCACCTGTCACCTTTGCCAAAGAACCATCAGTCTTTTCTTTTGTTCATCTTGGAATGAAAGAACTTGCCAATCTCTGTCTTTTACTCTGAGAGAAATGGAGAGTTACACCGGAGGCTATTGGAGTAGAGCAGGCACAGGATCTGACTTACAGGTTCAGCGGATCTGAGAACCTGACTGCTGTGCCGGCCGGCGTGGAAGCGGGAGACACTGCAGCCATCTTGGAGGGAGGAGATGTGGCCGGAGTCCCAGTGGCATCCTGGTGGTGGCAGAGGGAGCAAGAAGTCGTCCCCTTCAGGATTCTTTATGGATAACAAAGAACAAGATGATCCAATTAGCCAAAGCGCATGGCAGTGAACACAGTGTGGTCCTGAAGAGGAGAGCCTCCTGTGTAGGGGGCAAGGCAAGGCTGGGGCGGGGGGGGGGGGGGTCGAGAGTGGTGAGTGGGTGGGGCAGGGCACACGCTGGGAGGGAGAAGGAAGCAGAAGCTGAGCCCTCCGGGCCTCGGTGCGGAGAATACCTGGGGAACAGAGTGGGAAGAGCAGGAGCAGGAAGCTGGGAATGGAGACAACGCCGTGACAGATCCATCAGTCTGCCTGGGCCCGTTCTGAGGCCTGCCTGAAGCCACACAGGGACACCCAGTTGGGCAGTCCTCGTCCCTCTAGGGATGCTGTTTTATCACTGTCCAGTGATGCATGTAGTCACGAAAAGTGGGTAACACCTGTCAGCTTTTCGGCACTAGAATGAAATAATCAGGGAAGGCAGCCTATATAAAGACAGAGATGTATTTTGGTTCATGGTTTTGTTTTTTAAACCATTTTTATTTATTTATTTTCATTTTATTTGACATGGAGAGTGAGAGAGAGAGAGAGAGAGAGAGAGGGAGAGAAAGCTCACAGCTTCCATCCTCTGGTTCACTCCCCAAATGCCCACCATAGCCAAGGCTGGGCTACTGCCAAGCCTGAAACTCAAGCCGGTCTCACACCTGGGTGGCAGGGACCCAAGTACTTGTGTCATGATGTTGCCTCCCATTAGCAGAAAGCTGGAACTGGAAACAAATCTGGGACTTGAACTCAGGCACTTGGATATGGGATGTGGGCATCCCAAGTGGCACCCAAACTGCTGTGCCAAATGCCTGCGGCTGGCTCATGGTTTGGGATGTTTACAATCCAAGACTGGGTGGGTCCTATTGGTTTGGTGATGGTTTTCTTGCCAGTAGAATCCCGAGGTGGCACCAGGCACCATGTGCAAGAGACAAGGAACACCTTGGTCTCCATGAAAGCCACAAAGACCCAATCATGGGGTTCCACCCTAATGACATAATCCAATATAATCACTTCCCAAAGGCCCCGCCTACACACCACCCTCAGTATCTGGGAACTAAATTCCTGAATTCAGGGGCGGGACAAATATTTAAACCACTGCAACATCTATTGGGGGTTTCCTGACTATCAGTGTGAAAGGCACAGAGAACACAGGTTGTTCAGGAAGGAAGACCTGGGGTTTGCCTGCAGGGCAGTGTGGACTCACCACAGTCTTAGCCCTGGGGTTCTTGGTACAGTGCCTGGGAAACAGCAGGAGTGGGAAAAGCCTGCTGTTGAACTTGAATTCAGCATGTAGACAGACCCGCGGCGTTGGCAGGAAGTCATTTTAACGCCAGGAAAGAAGCCCTCTTCCTCTCTTTTGGTTCATCCTCCAGCATGTGGATTAATCACGATTTTCCCGCTGCTGTTACTTTGGTGTTTATATCTCCTGGCCTTTGACCATCTAATTTCATTCTGAAAACTCCATTTAATGAATACACATAGAGAAGTGGAGGGGTTAAACTCAGGCAAGTGACAGTGTTAGAAGACTGATGGAGGAATAGGTGTTTAGCCTAGCAGTTAAGATGTCTGCCTCCCACAGAGGGGGGTGCCTGGGTTTGAAGCCCAGTTCTCGCTCCTGATTCCAGCTCCCTGACAATGCAAACCCCGTGAAGAAGTGGTGATGACTCAACTATTTAGGTTCTTGCCACCATGTGGGAGACTTCAATTGAATTTCCAGTTGCTGGCTCTGGCCTCCAAGCCCAGGCCTGGCTGTTGTGGGCATATGGGGAGTGAACCTGTCTCTCAAACAGATTAATAATAATAATTTCTTTTTTTTTTATTTTTTTATTTTTTATTTTTTTTTTTATTTTTTTTGACAGGCAGAGTGGACAGTGAGAGAGAGAGACAGAGAGAAAGGTCTTCCTTTGCCGTTGGTTCACCCTCCAATGGCCGCCGCGGCCGGCGCGCTGCGGCCGGCGCACCGCGCTGATCCGATGGCAGGAGCCAGGAGCCAGGTGCTTTTCCTGGTCTCCCATGGGGTGCAGGGCCCAAGCACCTGGGCCATCCTCCACTGCACTCCCTGGCCACAGCGGAGGGCTGGCCTGGAAGAGGGGCAACCGGGACAGAATCCGGCGCCCCGACCGGGACTAGAACCCGGTGTGCCGGCGCCGCTAGGCGGAGGATTAGCCTATTGAGCCGCGGCGCCGGCCATAATAATAATAATTTAAAAACCCAACGTAGGGGGTCAGCGCTGTGGCACAGCAGGTTAACGCCTTGGCCTGAAGCGCCAGCATCACATATGGGTGCTGGTTCGAGACCCAGATGCTTCTCTTCCAATTCAGCTGTCTGCTATGGTCTGGGAAAGCAGTAGAAGATGGCCCAAGTGCTTGGGCCCCTGCACCCGCATGGGAGACCAGGAAGAAGCACCTGGCTCCTGGCTTTGGATCAGCACAGCTCTGGCCGTTGCAGCCAACTGGGGAGTGAACCATCGGATGGAAGACCTCTCTCTCTCTCTGCCTCTCCTCCTCTCTCTGTGTAAGTCTTTCAAATAAATAAATAAATCTTAAAAAAAAAAACAATGTAATAGGTATAAAAAAGTATGATGGAGATTGAAATTCTTACCACATAAAAATCTTAGAATAAGACAACTCTGGGGCTGCCACTGGAGCACAATGGGTTAAGCCGCCACTCGCAATGCCGGTATCCCATATGGCATCGCATACCAGAGTGCCAGTTTGAGTCCAGGCTGCTCCTATCCAGCTCCCTGCTGATGTGCCTGGAAAGGCAGAAGAAGGCTCAAGTATTTGGGCCCCAGTTACCCCATGGGGGAGACTCAGATGGGGTTCCTGACTCCTGGCTTCAACCTGGCCCAGCCCTGGCTGTTGAAGCCATCTGGGGCGTGAACCAGCAGACGGAAGACCTCTCTCCTCACCTCACCTTGTCTCTGTTGCTTTGCCCTTCAAATAAACTTTATTTTTAAAATGTTTGGCAGAGGAAGGCCTTTTTTTCTAAGTGTACTTCGACTCCAGACAACCCTGAGAAGTAGCTGATTTTATTCCCATTATAAATCATGAAAAGCTAGAGGAATCCGGCCACCAGCACAAGCCAGTAAGTTGGGGAGGCTGGAATTCCAATCAGGTCGTCCCATTCCACAGTAGCATTGCTGCTTCTCTTGCAGGAATTGGGAGCTTCCTTCCTTGCCCCAGAAATGTTTAAGACGTCTTGTAAATAAAACACTTAGATTCTTAGAGGACTGAAGTTAGAAAGGCGAATACGGCGCCCGGCCCCTCGTCGATGCAAGTTAAGGGGAAGGTGATTTCCAGCTCTGGGTGTAGAAATCTTGCTGTCCTTGGCGGCTGGGTGGCCGCTTGGGTCACGGCCCCTCTGTGATGTTTGCTGCCAGGGAAGCTCGACCCATACTGCAGACGGAGAGTCAAGGAGCCTGGATACCCAGATGCAACGACGCGCCACGGACTCTGGCAGCCAAAATGGGAAAAGCCACAGCTCGGGTTGCAGCTACTACGCAAACTACCGGGGGAGGGAGAAGGGAGGGGACGCAAAAATGTCCAGAGGTTCACGGTCAAGGCCAGGCGGACCGACCACCCTACTTCAGAGGTTCACGGTCAAGGCCAGGAGGACCGACCACCCTACTGAACCCCAAGAGGAAGGGGGCTGAGTCTCTGGGTGAAACCTGAAGAAGCCGACACCCGCGCTCAGGGACCAAGCGAGAGGGAGCGCGGTGCCCCTGGCAGCGCGCACAGGAACACGAGGAACACCCGAGGCGCAGCCGGCGTTCCCTTCCAATCCCCCCCGGGGCCCGAGTGTCGCCCTGGGCGGCCGCCTCAGTCAGTCCTTGGCTTCCCCGCCTTCTAAAAACCAGGCGCGGGTAGGCTCGCCCGGGGCGGTGGAGAACCTCTACGTGGTGTGGGAGTGGGGCGCTCAAAAGGGACGGCGGCCAGAGCCGCGGCGCTTCGCCCAGCCCCGGGAAACGCGGCGGGAAGGACGCCCGGACGCACCTCAGCCGCGCCCGCCGCGCTCCAAGGCCCACCTCAGCCGCGCCGCGCGGCCGCGGCCGCCGCCACCCACCGCGCCGCGCCGCGCCACGGGAGCGCGCGCGGGCCGGGGCGGGGCCGGGGGCGGGGCCGCGGCGGGCGGGCGGGCGGTGCGGAGGGAGGGTGTCGCGCCGAGGGAAGCGGCCCGCGGCGGAGGGAGGGGAGGCCGAGTGCTGGAAGCGGGGCTCCGCGCTGGGACTGGTTCCTTCGCAGCCATTTTCTGTCCAACCAAACAGCCGATTGGAGACGGGAGCCAACCAGGGCTGCATTGGAGGTTTGTGTCTCGCTTCGGCCAATGATCGCTCCTAAACCGACTCCACTTTAGCTCGAATGAAATGTCCGTCTCCTCCCGGCGCCGTCCCCGCCGCCAAAGCCGGCCGAGGACCGGAGAGAAATTTAGCTTCCCCACACACCAGTCCGGGCAGAGAGCCAGACCCGGGCCGGGCCGGCGCCTGCGAGGCCGCTCCCGCTGCGGGCCTGCCGGGCCGGGAGCGGGCGCGGGGCCGCAGCGCGGCTCTTTGTGCGCCGGCCGGGGAGCGGCGGGACGCGGGCCAGGCCGCCTCCCGCTCGCCGCCGTTGAGCTCCGAGCCCGAGGCCGAAGAGGGCTGCCGGCGGGGCACGGCCGGGGCCCCCCTCCCGGCGGCGGCGCCCCGGGCCGGCTCCATTTTGTGCGGGGAGCCGGCCGGCTGGCGGGGGGCGCGCGGCCCGGGGGTCCCCGACCCTGCCCCCTCGGCCTCTGCAGCCGCGCGGGCCCCCGCGGGGCGCCCCCCAGCCTCCCGCTCGTCGGTCCGCGGGGGCCTGGCCGGGCCCGGCCGCTTTGTCTGCCCGCACACTCCGGCGCCGCGCGGCGGGCGGGAGACGGGCGTTGGGCGCGGGGGCCGGGCTGGCCGGGCCATCGGGGGGTCGGCGCCGCACGTGCGGGGCTGACAGGTCGCGGGCTCGGCGGTGGGGCCCCGGGCCACCCCGCGCACCTGCGTGGGGGAGGCGGCGAGGTCCCCGGGAGGCAGGAATGGCTTTGGCGTCCCCGCAGTCTGGTTTGCGCGTAAAGAATGCAGCCATCTGGCGGCTTGTGGTCCCTGGACTTGCCCCGAAGGTGGGAAGGAAGCCGTTCGGATTGGACTGAGGTTTCAGTCCTCGCTGGTGGGAGGCGGGAGGCTGTGCAGGGGCTCACGGAGCGGTAGTCTCCGAGAACAAAGAATTCCAGAGCACCCACAAATCGTAATCTCGCCCGAAGTACTAGAACAAGATGCTAGAAACACGGGTAGGTAGCTGGCATGCGACCTCCAAAAAAATGGCACCCCTGGCCGGCGTGGGCTCCCCAGTTCTGTACCTGTGTGGATTCAGCTCTCCGGGTGTGGAGGTGATCAGCAATGTAGAGGGAGGAGGCAAACTGATCAATAGCAGTGGCATTAATAAGTAGGGGTTTTATTTATAAAATATTGAAAGTTTAACCAGAATTCCTTAAAAAGCCACTTATTCCTCCCCTGTACTGCTCCTGTAGGTTAATTTAGGGACGATGTTGGTGCCAGAGAATGGAGCCTGGAGGAAGGGACTGCTGCTTTTCTTAGATGCAAATTTGCATTTCTCCAAACATTAAACAGATGTATGCATTCCCTTGAGCTTTTACATATATCATGACCAGCTCTCCAAGTGTATACCCTTAGAGGTGATGGCGTTCTTCTTTAATGCATTCCATCTAAATATATATTGAGCCACCTATTTGGATGAGTGACTGTGGGGTTGTGTGGCTCACTCCACCTCCCACCACCACCCCCATTCCAAGTAAGACATGAGTATATATAGCTCCTGCGCTTCAAGTGTGCTAAGGATTTAGATTTTTCCAAAGGCAGACTTAAAAATAACATTCCTAGCTACAAAGAAGAAATTTTTCTAGCTGGTTTTGGGGTTAGAAAGAGGACACTATTTGAAAAGAAATTAAAAATTACTTTTTAAGATTATAGCGGACGTCAGGCGGTCTTTGCTGCCTGGACCCTCTCACTGGCATTTTAAAGATTCAATTCAGTGGCTACAGTTTTGTCTGTAATTTCCCGAATTTCCTGCTTGACTGCCTATCTGCATTTCTTCTCCTTTCAGCATTAATGGGGAAAGGCTGTGTTTTTGTTTTGTCCCCTTCCCTACTGTTTCACTTGAAAAAAGGAGAGCAGCAAATGAGAAGTGAAGGTTGTAACATTGTAACTGATCCTAATTTATTCAGCTATTTATGCCTTAAGGTTGAAGTGCTGTTCAGATGCAATTTTAGTACAAAATGGTGGTGCTTCAAAATTAGAAGTATAAAGGTCTTAATTGTGGTGTTTCTTGTGTGTGCTTGGGTAGCCTGTCTCATCTTTGCAGTCTAATCTGAGATACTTAACAGTATCCCATTCGGAGATAATTTTTTACTCTTTCTCAGCCTTAAAACACCTAAATCTCACTCTGAAACATTAAGAAAACCACCACCAGAAATGGAGTTGATAAGTGGAGTGTTTGTGTCTTGGATGTTAATTTGAAATATTGCTCACTTGAGATGTAGTTAGATGTGTAATTTTTGGTTTCGTGTATATTGTGGAATGTGATCCCTGTTGGGTGTATTGTGATGACTATTTATAATGAACCTGACTAAATCTGAGGTTACATTAGAAGACCAAGCTGCCCTTCCCTGCTGTGGAATTATCTTTTCTGTAAGTTCTCCAAAATAATTCTTCTAATTCAACAAACATTTATATTGCATTTCTGTTCTCACCGCTTTATACCAGGTACTCCATTGACTAAGAATAGTAGCCCAAATTATATATGCCGTCTTTAATTGTACTAGAAAGTAAGCCTGCAGGCTCTATATTTTTACTCCTAATAGGTGTTTATCTTTTAGGTTGGAATTGGGCAGAGATTAGACACCTTTTTAGAAAGGTGTTCTTGAGCACCACTGGCACCACGGTTCTGACAGTATTTCATGACAGTAAGTATGTTTTACCATTTCGGTGGTTAATGAGATTTGAACCGTAATTGGCTGGAAACAAAGTTATGGTGGATTTGTGCTGGAGATTCCTAACGCGATGGCTACCTTTCAAGTCTAGGCAGATGGTGTCTCTGCTCTTCCCTGTGCTCCCTTCTCAGTTGCTTGCCTATGGGAAGGGTTTCCCATGGCCGGTAAGTGCTGCGAGGCGCCAAGGCAAACCACCTGTCCCAGCCAGGAACGGGCTCTTTGGCTGGTACGGCTTTGGTCCAGTTGAATACTGTGAGGGCAGTTGCGTGCTGAATGGAAAGTGCTGACCCAAATGCAGTGCAGGTGGAGAGGCGAGGTCTGGTGGGCCTGGGTAGTTGGGAATGTCGGGGTGGGAGGAGCCTTGAAGGGGGAGTGGGATTTGGTGCGCTGGAAGGTTTCACCAACAGCCGAAGCCTGGCGGCACCAGTTAATAACCAGTTAGGGGATGGGGAGCAGAGGTGCATGGTCTGAATGGAGATTTCACAGGATGGTAAGGTCGGGAAGAGAAGGCACGTGGCCTCTCTGGGTATTTAGCTCTGCATCTCCTGGCATTCACAGCTTCGAGCCATAGTTGCCACACTCCTAAAACCAAAGACCTGCGTTCCGTTGATCCTTGGTAGCACTAAGATGTTTATGGGCCTTGAAGACAGCACAGATGAAGCTTGCTTAGGTTAGGTGCGAGCAGGCCAGGTAAAGTCATGAAAACCAGATCTGGCTTTGACTCAGGAAACCATTTAGAACTTTAGGAACTGGTTCAAGGGCAGTAGGAGCAGTGTCGTGGAAGGTTACTCTTCAGATTTGGTCGGAATCCTGGAGGAACCAGAAAGGAGGGGCAGCCCCAGGAGACATTTTGGCTGAGTTAACAGATGAGGTAGGGCTTCAGGGACGTGGGGGACCCTAAGGTGACACTGGCATACTTAGCCTGGAAGAGTGGAAGGCTGGCGGTATTCTTAGAATCCCAAGTGGAAGAGGAGTGCTCTCTCCGGTCCTCCTGGGCAGGGAGTGGTCAGATAGGTTCAGTGTGGGGGCTACTTGGGTGGCAGGCAGGGTATTGGTTGTGGGTTTGGGACTTGTATGCATGGAAGTGATAATAAAAGAGTTCATGAAGAGAGGCAGGGAAGAAAGAAAACGGTCACCTTGGATGGGAACTGAGAATTTAGGGGTAAAGAGGAAAGAATACTGCGTTGGAATTCAGGGGGGCAGAGAATTCTAGGCATAAATGAGGAGCCGTCAGGGGCCAGCTCTACCTCGAACAGCGAGTTAGGCTGAAAGCAAAATCAGCGACAGCTCTTAAGAGTGGTTTTCGAGCCGGCGCCGTGGCTCAATAGGCTAATCCTCCGCCTTGCGGCGCCGGCACACCGGGTTCTAGTCCCGGTCGGGGCGCCGGATTCTGTCCCGGTTGCCCCTCTTCCAGGCCAGCTCTCTGCTATGGCCAGGGAGTGCAGTGGAGGATGGCCCAGGTGCTTGGGCCCTGCACCCCATGGGAGACCAGGAAAAGCACCTGGCTCCTGGCTCCTGCCAGGATCAGCGCGGTGCGCCGGCTGCAGCGGCGGCCATTGGAGGGTGAACCAACGGCAAAGGAAGACCTTTCTCTCTCTGTCTCTCTCTCACTGTCCACTCTGCCTGTCAAAAAAAAAAAAAAAAAAAAAAAAAAAAGAGTGGTTTTCATATTGTGTTAGGCCAAGAAGCACGCATCAGGGAGTTTCAGGAGGCACGCAGAGGTGTGCAAGGACTGTGTGTCGGGGTGAGAATGACAGGGCAGAAGGGGACAGTTCTGTCTCCGTGCCCATCTGTGTGTTAGTGAGGGAGACTAAGCATGCTTAAGGAGGACTGCAGATACCTTAGCCATGAGAAGTGTTGCTTCCTGTCCTGGAAGAAGTAAGAGGACTATGATACAAAGAACAGGCCAAGTTCCATGAAAGCAAGCTCTCTGTGCCTGCAAGGAACGATGAGAACTGTGTTGGAAGGGGCAGTCATAATGGTAGGTTATGCTGGTTGAGTTCTTAGTAAGTATCCAACTTTTATAAGTGCTTTTTATACAGGAACGTCTCATAGCAAATCCATTTTAAAAAGGAGGAGGCTGGAACAGAGTATGGTTGTTCACACAGCTAACAGATGGGGAGCCAAGCTCCAAACCCAGGCAGTCTCTGGGAGCAAGTGCTCCCAACCAGTTTACAAATACTGCCCTTGTTTGAGAAGCTACCTGAATGTCTTCAGTGTGTAATCCACAGACTTAAAATTTAGAGGAAATTGAAACGTCAGGACTATGGGAAAAACTACCAGGAATGAATACCGTAAGAACCTGGTATCTGAAGCTTCGGATTTCAGTTCCTTCTACTGTGCCACCTTGGGCAAAATGTTGCCCTCCTAGACTCCGTCTTCTCACTGTTTTACAAGGTTGTGAACACTGCATGAGATATTTAGAAAGTGGTCAGTGACTATAAACATATTAAAGAGGTTGCTACTTAATGTATTTGTGCAACAAGTTATTAGCATAGTTTAAATATGCTACATTGAAAATAGGAAATTAACTCACTTAGCCAGTTGACCATTTGTTTCATTAATTTAATGGGCTTTAAGTCCTGTTTGTCCATATTTATCCATTCCCTTGGATCTGAGTAGTCATCACTTTACCATTCTCTTGTCCATTCTTTTACCAGGCAGGTAAGCGTCACAGCCGCGCATGTCGGTGTCACTGCAAAGTCGTGGCTGCCAACTTCAGCTTCCAGGCTCTGCACTGCCGGCTCCCCTTGCTCTCCCCTTGCTCTCCCCTGGCTCTCCCTTTCCCTGCCGTGGGAACTGTCTCCCCAGCCGTGAGGACGCCAGCAGTGCCCTTGTGCTTTCCTCGAACTCTGCGCAGTCCTCTTGGCTTTCTCTGCTACCAAGCTGTCTGGTTGCTCTGCTTCTCTTGTTCTCCCCTGCCGCCGCCCTGGGCCAGATGCTGAGAGAGATCATCACCTTGCCGGAAGTCATGTCCTAGCCGCAGCATTGTAGCCTCACTGGTCTGCTGCCCCTGTTCTTGCTCCTCTCCAGGTCATTCTCCGTACCAGATGGTAGCCAGAGTGATCTTTTGAAAAAAAAAAAAAAAAAGAAAAGAAAAGAAATCTGATTTGCATTCTTCCTTGATTTGCCTTTTTTTTTTTTTTTAAGATTTATTTATTTATCTATTTGAAAGTCAGAGTTACACAGAGAGAGGAGAGGCAGAGAGAGAGAGAGAGAGAGAGAGAGAGGTCTTCGATCTGCTGGTTCACTCCCCAATTGGCCACAACGGCCGGAGCTACACCGATCCGAAGCCAGGAGCCAAGAGCCAAGAGCCAAGAGCCAGAAGCTTATTCCAGGTCTCCCACGCGGGTGCAGGGACCCAAGGTCTTGGGCCATCTTCCACTGCTTTCCCAGGCCATAGCAGAGAGCTAGATTGGAAGAGGAGCAGCCAGGACTAGAACCGGCGCCCATATGGAATGCCGGTGCTTCAGGCCAGGGCATTAACCCGCTGCGCCACAACGTTGGCCTCCCCTTGATTTGCTTTTGTCCATAAAGTGCTGCTAGATTTAGCCCCTCCTGGGCTCCTCCGAATCTGCCAGTGCTGTATTTCTCTTTCCTCCGCCTGGAACATTTGTTCCCCCACCTTTCTTTGCCTAACTGATTTGTACTCATCTTTCAGTCTCAGGTTAAATGTCATTTTCTAATACAGCTTCTCTTGACCTCTCACACTAGTGAGATCTTTTTGAAATAAGCTCAGGTAGCATGTAACAGAACTTCAGTTTTCCTTTTTTTAATAAATATTTATTTTATTTATTTGAAAAAGTCACAGAGAGAGAGGGAGAGGCAGGGGTCTTCCATCTGCTGGTTCACCCCCCCAATGGCTGCAATGGCCAGGGCTGAGCCAGGAGCCAGGAGCTTTTTCTAGGTCTCCCACATGGATGCAGGGACCCAAGCACTTGGACCATCCATTGCTGCTTTCCTAGGCACATTAACAGGGAGCTGGACTGTAAGTGGAGCAGCTGGGATGTGAACTGGTGCCCATATGGGAAGCCAGAGTAGCAGGTGGTGGCTTTACTTGCTACACCACAATGCCAGCTCCAAACTTCAGTTTTTCTTAGCACGTAGCGTGAACAGCTATTTGTAATTCTTTGTGCTATATATAACATTTAATGGGTATTCCCACTGTGCTATGCTAAGGTTTTTTGCTCTATATTTATTTGAAAGGCAGACGCAGAGAGAGAGAGGTCTTCTATCTGCTGGTTCACTCCCCAAAATGGCCGCATTGGCCAGAGCTGGGCTGATCCGAAGCCAGGAGCCAGGAGCTTCTTCTTGGTCTCAGGTGCAGGAGCTGAAGGACTTGGGCCATCATCCACTGCTATCCCAGGCCATAGCAGAGAGCTGGATTGGAAGTGGAGGAGCTGGGATCAGAACCAGCACCCATATGGGATGCCAGCATTTCAGGTGGCAGCTTTACCCTCTCTGTCACAGTGGCAGCCCTGCTAACTTATCTCCTAAATAGTACAGTAGCCATGTGGGCTTAAATCCTGTTCTCATCCAACTTGCTCAAGGTCTCATGGATAGTAGGTAGCAGAGAATTCAAACTGGGTGATTGGATTCTAGAGCCCGTTGTCTAGAAGTTCTAATAGGCTACCCTGTTCACCCCTGTCCCCTAGGTTACTTAACGTTTGTCTTTTCTGCAAGATGCAGACAGAAGCCTTGTGTGTGTTGATTGCTGTGGCACCAGCAAATAGCAGGGCCTGATAAACGCCAAGTGCTCGCTCAGTAAATGTTTGCTGGTAGCTTCCTTAGAGTCTGCACACTGCTGTTCATTTTTATAAGAAGGTTTTAGGACCCAGGAAGACCTTTGGACTGTATCTGGCAAGTTGCTTCCGTCATTTCTTTTATGTTGGAGAATGGCTGGCATATGAGAGTACTTCAAAAAGTTTGTGTGCTGGGGCCGGTGCTGTGGTGTAGCTGGTAAACCCACTGCTTGCGATTCTGGCATCCCATATGGGCCCCGGTTCAAGACCCGGCTGCTCCACTTGCCATCCAGTTCTCTGCTATGGCCTGGGAAAGCAGTGGAAGATGGCCCAAGTCCTTGGGTCCCTGTACTTGCGTGGGAGACCCAGAAGAAGTTCTGGCTTCGGATTGGCCCAGCTCCGGCCGTTGCAGCTAATTGGGGAGTAAACCAGCGGATGGAAGACCTCTCTCTGCTGCTGCTTCTCTGTGTAACTCTTTCAAATAAATAAATAATCTTTTAAAAAAAAGTTTTTGAGGAGCCAATGTTGTTTTGCAGCTGGGTAAGCCACTGCCTGCAGTGTGGGCACTCCATATTGGACAGACTGCTGATTTGAGTGCTGGCTGCTCAGTTAATGGACAAGCTCCTAGCTAATGTGTCTTGGAAGGCAACAGAAGATGGCCCAGTACACGGGCCCCAGCCACTCATGTGGGAGACCTAGATGGAGTTCCTGGCTCCTAGCTTTGACCTGGCCCAGTCCTCGCAAAAGCGGGTGTTTGGGGAATTAACCAGTGGATAGAAGATCTCTTTCTCTCACTCTCTGTCACTCTGCCTTTCAAATAAATAAAAATAAATCAGAACAAAAACAAAAAGTCTATGAAAAAATGGAGTGAAAAGATACATTTATTTTGGTGCAGAAAATTTTGAAATCCAAAAACTTCATGGAAAATGTATAATAATGGAAAAACTGCATGGGTTTCAAAATGTTTTTGCACTAAAATAGACTTATCTTCCATTTATCTTCCATTTTTCCATAAACTTTTTGAAGTACCCTTATATTGTAAAGCATCAGAAGATGATGAACATTCATTTTTTTTTTTTAATATTTACTTATTTATTTTAAAGGCAGAGTTACAGAGAGGCAGAGGCAGGGGGAGAGAGAGGTCTTCCATCCGCTGGTTCACTCCCCTGATGGCTACAACAGCTGGAGCTGTACTGATCCAAAGCCAGGAGCCAGGAGCTTCTTCTGGGTCTCCCATGCAGGTGCAGGGGCCCAAGGACTTGGGCCATCTTCCTCTGCTTTCCCAGGCCACAGCAGAGAACTGGATGGGAAGAGGAGCAGCCAGGACTCTAACTGGCACCCATATGAGATGCTGGCAGTGCAGGCGGTGGCTTCACCCGCTGTACCGCAGCGCCAGTCCTGGAACAGTCATTTTTGAATTGCAGAATAGGATGAATGAGATTGCAGAAGGAAAGGAAAAATTGGAATTGAAGTCAGGGAGAATTTTAATGGTAGAAAGAAAGGAAGACGAAAAGTGAAATGCCAGAGAAGCTAAAACTGTGGAACCATTCACATGGTTAAGTGGACAGTGTGTGGCTTCCCTTCAGGAGAGGAAGAGACCCATTTCTAGAGTGCACTACAGGTCAGGCATTGCCCTGGACAGCTTCCTAGTCTTTAATTTTGACAATTCTGTGAAATACCCATCAATTTTTAGAAGACAGGTTTACAGAGGCTAAGGCTATTAATCCAAATTATAATCTTGCTACTAATTCCAGGGTATGACAAAATAGCATGGTTTAAATGTTTTACCTTTAATACTTTGTGTTATATTTATAAATTAATTCATCTCAGGTTTCCCTGTTTTTTTTTTTTTTTTATAAATCTTTTTTTTTTTCTTAGATTTTTGAATTTATTTATTTGAAAGAGTTAGAGAAAGAAGGAGAAGCAGAGAGAGAGAGAGAGAGAGGTCTTCCACTCCCCAGATGGCCGCAATGACTGGAGCTGCGCCGATCCGAAGCCAGGAGCCAGGAGCTTCTTCCAAGTCTCCCACCTGGGTGCAGGGGCCCAAGGACTTGGGCCATTTTCTACTGCCTTTCCAGGCCACAGCAGAGAGCTGGATCAGAAGTGGAGCGGCTGGAACTCAAACCAGTGCCCATATGGGATGCCGCCACTGCAGGCGGCAACCTTACCCACTACGCCACAGGGCTGGCCCCTTCCTGGTATTTTAATAATGTCTTGTTCATTAGTTAATTGTAAAAGAATCATGGTGGGCCAGCACTGGCAAAGCTGGTAATTTTTTAAATTTTAATCCCATATGGGTGCCAGTTCTAGTCCTGGCTGTTCTACTTCAGATCCAGCTCTCTGCTATGGCCTAGGAAAGCAGTAGAAGATGGCTCAAGTGCTTGGGCCCCTGCACCCGCCTGGGAGACCTGGAGGAAGCTCCTGGCTCCTGGCTTTGGATTGGCGCAGCTCAGGCCATTGTGGCCATTTGGGGAGTGAACCAGTGGATGGAAGACCTCTCTCTCTCTCTCCGTCTCTGTCTCTCTGACTCTGTCTCTCTCTAACTCTGCCTTTCAAATAAAAAATAAATTAAAAAAAAAAAAAAGACTCATGGTATCTTGTGGACATTAGTTCAGCAAAGAATTTGCAGTATTACCCAACTCTCACCCCACAAAAAGATTTGTTTCCATTTGTAGGTTCTGATACAACTATTTTGGTTCTGTGTCTTGTACCTTGATCTTCCTTTCATCATTACAAAAAATATTCAACTGGGGGCCAGTGCTGTGGCACAGCAGTTGAGCTGGCATCCCATGTGGGCGCTGGTTCTGGTCCCCACTGCTCCACTTCTGACCTGGCTCCTGCTGCGCACCTGGGAGATGGTGGAAAATGGCCCCAGTACAGTGCCCTGCACCCAGGGGAGACAGGGATGGAGTTCCTGACTGCTGGCTTCAACCTGGCCAGGTACTGGCTGTTGCGGCCATTTGGGGAGTGAACTAGAGCGTGGATGATCAGTTGATTTCTCGCTCTCTCTTCCTCTCCCTCTCTAACTTGGCTGTTCAAATGAATTACTCTTAAGATAGTCCAAGCTCTCCTAATTTACCACTCTTTCATAGCAAATATTAATTCATCATCATGCTCACTAACTACCCTCCTAGTATCTTGTTCACAATTTTGGATCAAAATGGCATATTATATTTGGGTAGTGTTTCACATGGAGTTGTTTTAGTTTGGGATCTGAAAGGTAGTGTTGTTGTTTCCATTTTACATAGAAATTCATTGAACACACAGGGCCTCTTGGTTTCAGGGATCACTGGGAGAGCCAGAGTCAGCTGACTGACTTTGTTTACTTCTTAGAGTAACAAATCAGCAATAAATCAGTGTATTGAAGGTATATGAATTCTGTTTTCTACCTCCTTAAAACAACCATATAAATTATGGAAATGTGTATCTACAATTAAATTAGACATCACCGTCAGCAGATCCATGAAAGAAATGTCATGTTATCAAAGACTTGGAAACTCGCCCAGTACATGGTATTAGATAAAACCCCAACAGAGATGGGGAAGAGGACATGTGTTCTACAGGGACTAAAACACTGCAATTGATAATCTGGACTGGGGTCTTACTAACCCTTATCTCATTGGCCTGAAAGCATGCATAAGTTATACTTAATGTATGCAACACTTCTGATTCAGATAATGTATTTAAAATTTTCCTACTCACAAACAGCCAGGCCCTTCATGGTGGTGAATGGTAGCATTTGCAAAGCTTTCGAAAGCCTGAGATCTGCTATGTTGGTGAAACAGGTTGGGGCCAGTTCAGAACAGTTCAGAATTCTGTTCACTCCGGAATTTCCCTCTTGGAATTCTGTTTAAGCAAAATTAACTAAGCAGGCTTCTGGTAAAATTGTCATTTTAACGCTCATTCTTGTCTGTGATTTTAGTTTTCCTATCTTCATATGCACATCTCCAGACTTCTCTCCTCCTCCCCTCTCCTCTCTTCCTTTTTAAGAAACAAAGTTTGAGGAGTAGAGGGAAAATTAACCTTTGACTAGACTTGGAGGTGATGGGCTTATTCAAAATGAGGGTGTGCATTTGGATCGCACACGTATAGAACTGTTGGGGAATTCACGTGCTTCCTACACGAATCAGCCGTGTGAACTGAGATGTAGTCTATTTTGGGTCTTCTGGGGGACAACAAAAGGTTTGCAGCAGAAACAAAAGGGTTTGCCCAGGAATATCAGCCTTAGCAGAAGAGCTGAAAGTGAGGAGCAGCGATGACTTGCAGTTAACTGAGCTAGGCTTTGAGCGTCATTCCAGGGGTGAGTTCAGTTCTGTGTCAGAGTGATCTGTACTGTATTTGAGGAGCAGGCAGTTGAAAAGAAAGAGGCTAATGCTTTAGAGTCATTTTCTTTTGTTTCTTAGGGCTCTATGCTTATCACTTGTGGAAGATGGATAAGAGAACCGAATTATTAAACAGTTTCCAAAGGAAGACATACGTTTTCTCCTAAAGAGCTTAAAGCTGTGAAAAATGTATTTGACCCATCGTAATGACAGTTTATGAGCCTGAATCTGTTATGTATTTCAGTGCAGCCCTCACTGAAGAGAATTAGAAATCTTTTTTTCCTCCTAGATGGACGGTGACAGTTCGACCACAGATGCTTCTCAACTGGGAATTTCTGCAGACTACATTGGCGGGAGCCACTACGTGATACAGCCTCACGATGGTAAGAGGCCCCCTCTGAAACCAGTTCACAAGTAGAAACAGTTAGGAAGGAGAATTGTATTAAATATGATGTTCTAGGTTACTTTTGTCTTAACAGAACAGTTAGCAACTTTAGTCACAGATCATGAACGTTGAAAAAGGTCTAACATGCTATATTAAAAATAGTCTTCAAAACAGTTCAAGTCCTAGAAAGGAATTTGTAAAAGTATGCCTTTTTAAAAAACTTGTATAGTGTCTTTTAAAATTTGTTACTGATTTCCTATTTAATAAATATGATTAATACTTAATAGACTAATAAAAATAGTTCTTTAGAGGGTGAGTTAAATTGCTAGGTGTATTTTTAGGACTTACGTACATACTTATTTTTGTTTTTCACTCAGTATTACCTTTAACTATGTCAGAGATTAGAATAGTAGTATTATGTTGACCTATCAGAAATAACTTACTTTTGTACCATCTTAAAAGTTTTAAAATTGGGGCCAGTGCTGTGGCGCAGTGGGTTAACGCCCTAGCCTGAAGCGCTAGCATCCCATATGGGCACCCATTCGAGACCTGGCTGCTCCAGTCCAGCTCTCTGCTATGGCCTGGGAAAGCAGTAGAAGATGGCCCAAGTCCTTGGACCGTTGCACCCACGTGGGAGACCCGGAAGCTCCTGGCTCCTGGCTTTGGATTGGTGCAGCTCCTGCCGTTGCAGCCAACTGGGGAGTGAACCCCCAGATGGAAGATCTGACTCTGTCTTTGCCTTTCCTCTCTCTGGGTAACTCTGACTTTCAAATAAATAAATTAATCTTTTAAAAAAAAGTTTTAAAATTAATTTTAAATTAAATTTTTTAATTTGAATTTTTTAAAATTTTACTTTAAAATTTTTTAAGATTTTAATTTTAAAAATGTTTATTTACTTGAAAGATAGAAAAACAGAGATAGAGAGAGATATCCCATCTAGGTTTACTCCCTAAAGGTCTACAACATCTGGCCTGGGCCCAGACTGAATCCCGAAGCCTAGCCTTCAACCCGGGTCTCCAACCTGGGTGGCAAGACCTGGGTACTGAGCTGTCATCTGTCGCCTCCTAGGGTGTGCATTAGCAGGAAACTGGAGTTAGAAGCAGAGCTGGGGCTCAAATGCAGGCACTCCAATATGAGATGAGGGCATCCCAAGTAATATCAGATGCCTGCCCCTTTTGTGGCATTTCCATATGTGAAATTTTAAAAAGAGATTCTTGGAAAGCAATTCTGGAGAGGAAGGGAATAGTTATTTCACCCTAAAACAAATACTCAAATAAGTTCAATTTTATAACATCATTTAAACACATAAAAATGTAAATGGAATCAACCTGTATCAGCCTAAATACATTGTTTATTATTTAGTCCACAAAGAGTGGGAAGTTTACTTACAAGATACTTTATTTAGTCATAAAAGAGTATTAAAACTCAGTTATACTTAAATCTGTATAATTTGAAGATGTACTTTTGGGGAAGGCATTGTGGCGTAGCAGGTAAATCCGCCATGTGTGACACTGGCATCCTTTATGGGTACTGGTTCGTGTCCCAGCTGATCCAGCTCCCTGCTAAGATGCCTGGGAAAGCAGCAGAAGATGGCCCAAGTGCTGGGGCCCATGCACCCGTGTTGGAGACCAGAAAGGAGCTCTGGACTCCTAGCTTTGATCTCGTTCAGTTCTAGCCATTGTGGCCATTTGGGGAGTGAACCAGTGGATGGAAGACCTCTCTCTCTGTCTCTGTCTCCCTCCCTCCCTCCCTCCCTCTCTGTCTCTCTCTCTCTCTGTAACTGTGCCTCTGTACCTTTCAAATAAAAATAAATCTTTTTTAAAAAGTACTTTTATAAAACAATAGGATCACCACTATACCTTTGTTCAAAAACTAGTTACTATATTAGTAATCCATTTGGGTTAGTGATACTCAAATCTACTCAAATTGTGCATGGAATGTCCTTTTCTATACAAAGTTTTATAAAACTGTATATAAAGAAACTTAGTTTATATAAGTTTCTTTAAAAGTTTTATATAAACTTTACCTAAAGAAGTTTATATAAACTTGGCTTTGTATAGATACGTAACCTCTTACGGTAGCAATATTTAAGGTTATGGTCTGTAAGTTTTATAGCTAAGTTATGAAATAAGTATTTATGAGCACTTGCTCTGTAGAAGGTGCTTTCCAAGTCCTGGGAAACAAAGCTGATCCATGGCATCAAGTAGCAAAATCTTAACAGGGAAAATGAGAAATAAAAACAATCACATGTGGTACTTTATGAAACCTCAGTTTTGAATTATTACGGAGATGTTATTTGAGCTTTCTGAAGAATGAGTAAGTAGAATTTTAATTGGCATGAGTGAGGAAAAAGACTTCTTGGTCAGTGGGTTTGAAGTTACTGAATAGGTTCAGTTCTGCCCCTGAGAAAACTGTGGAAAGAAATCCTAATCCCTGAGCAGAATTAGGAAATGAACACCAGTGCTTCTCACTCCAGGTTGTTGCAGGTGGTTTTTTCTTTCTTGAAGTAAAAAGTATGACAAGCTTTAAATCCAAAATTTTTATTTCCTTAGATACTGAGGACAGCATGAATGATCATGAAGACACAAATGGTTCAAAAGAAAGTTTCCGAGAACAAGATATATATCTTCCAATTGCAAATGTGGCTAGGATAATGAAGAATGCCATACCTCAAACAGGAAAGGTAATGGGGAGAAGTTTAACTAGCTTTTTCGGGGAAGAATGTAAACCTGTGAATGGATGCAGTCAGGTCTTGATTTTAGTCACTCAGCCTTTCAGAAAATCAAATGTTCCCTTGTCTGCACACTCAGTTATTGAACAGTGCTCCATCTTCAGTTCTGTCATCTTCCCAAGTGCTGCCCTCTCCCAGCACTGGAAGCAGGTAAAATAGAGTTCAAACTCTGTTTTGAAAAACAGGTACACTGGTGGGTTTAGGCATATGATGTTGTAACTTCTATAATGTTGCAACAACATTAGGTTATATTGGACTGTAGTAAAATCTCTTTAAAAATTCTGGTGTTTGCAAACAACTATTTTTACATAATTATAGATATCAACATAACCTTTCAACCGGTACGATTTCTTTTTAAAGTAGTTTGGTGGTCTTCAAACTTTTTTTTTTGTTTTTTAAGTTTATTTGAGAGTCAGAATGATAGAGACAGAGAGCATGCTCCCAACTGCTGGTTTGCTCCTCAAATGCTCGCAGCAACCAGCGGCCAGGGCCAAAGGCAGAGCCAGGGGCTCATTGTGCATCTGCCAAAGAACCCAGTTGCTTGGACCATCACTGCTGCCCCCCAGCGCACACAGGAGTAGGATGCTGAAGTCAGGAGTCAGAGCTGAGTATAAAAGCCCAGGCACTGGGCGGGGTTTCAGTGACTTAACTCCTAGACTAAACCTGGTCCCAGAGTAACTTTTTTTTTTTTTTTTTTTTTTTTTTTTTGACAGGCAGAGTAGACAGAGAGAGAGACAGAGAGAAAGGTCTTCTTTTGCCGTTGGCTCACCCTCCAATGGCCGGCGCGCTGCGGCCAGCATACTGTGCTGATCCGATGGCAGGAGCCAAGTACTTCTCCTGGTCTCCCATGGGGTGCAGTGCCCAAGCACTTGGGCCATCCTCCACTGCACTCCCTGGCCACAGCAGAGAGCTGGCCTGGAAGAGGGGCAACCGGGACAGAATCCGGCGCCCCGACCCGGGACTAGAACCCGGTGTGCCGGCGCCGCAAGGCGGAGGATTAGCCTAGTGAGCCGTGGCGCTGGCTCCCAGAGTGACTTTTAAAACTCACTGTCACTCATTACTTGGTCTGAATTAAAATTCACATATATAACCTTTTCTATCATTTTATTATAAAAGTACTTACGAAGGTAAATAAGGCTTACAAACAAATACACCATTAAAATACCTCAGGAAACGGAGAAGTTCCAATTTCAGAGGTCTTCCTTATGTTTTAGAGGAAAAACTACTGATTCTGGCCTTAAAGAGTAGGCCTGTGCTGTCTAGTTCTGTAGCCATTAACCACTTGTGTCTCCTGAGCACTTGAAATGTGGCTGGTCTGAGTTGAGATATGCTGGAAATATAAAACACATCAGATTTTGAAGACTTAGTATGAAGAAAATAACTCAAATGTCTCACTTTAAAATTGACTCTATGTTTAAATGATCATAACCTGGGATATATTGGATTAAATAAGGTATATTATTAAAATGAATTTCCATGTTTCTTTTTTTCTTAAAATGGGTACTGGAGAATTTAAAATGGTATTATCTTGCTTGACTGCTTTTTTGTAACTTACTGACTTTCTCCAGGATGTAACATAGTCACCAAGTTGAAAGGCAGTGTCTTTAGCACGAAGATGGTCATTTGTGTTATAAGTGGCTGTAGAATTGCATAATTAATCCATTACAGCTTCATTTTCAGATCCAAGCCCTTAAGAATTACCATGAGGTGGCAGGTGTGTGCTTCTGTAGGCAGGCTTTTTAATGAACTTGACCTGTACCTGACACTATATTCTCAACAGTAAGAAAATCAAAAAGTCACCATATGACATTGTTTCATTTTTTTTTAAGCTGTATGTGAATTCAGTTTTTGAGTTTGTGAATTTTTTTTCATGGTATTCTTATTCATGAAAATGCTAAGGCAGAGAAGTAGCATGTGAGATAAATTCTTCTGAATAGCCATTTAATTTTGCAGGTTATTAGGAAAGTGATGCTATATTCCCCTACAGATTTGCTTATGTTTTTTTTCTCTTCAGATTGCAAAAGATGCCAAAGAATGTGTTCAAGAATGTGTGAGTGAGTTCATTAGCTTTATAACATCTGAAGCAAGTGAAAGGTGCCATCAAGAAAAACGGAAGACAATCAATGGAGAAGACATTCTCTTTGCCATGTCCACCTTGGGCTTTGACAGTTATGTGGAACCTCTGAAATTGTACCTTCAGAAATTCAGAGAGGTAAGTAAGATGTCCTTTGTTGGCTTTGAACAATACAAGATTCATTATTTATTTAAACTTTTAAAATGTATTACTCTGGGCCTGGCACTGTGGCATGTGATGCCAGCCACCCATGTGGACACCAGTTTGAGCCCTGGCTGTTCCACTTCCGATCCAGCTCCCTGCTGGTGTGCCCCAGCGGGCAGCAGAGGATGGCCCAAGTGTTTGGGCCCCTGTACCCACATGGGGAATCCTCTGGCCTCGGATTGGCTCAGCTCCATCCATTGCAGCTATTTGGGGAGTGAACCAGTTGATGGAATATCACCGTCTCTCTCTAGCTCTCCCTTGTAACTCTGCTTTTCAAATAAATAAATAAATCTTTAAATAAAAATAAGTAAATAAATAAAATATATTATTCTGTATTCCTTTAATGTGGTTTGGAATTAGAATAATTTATTTTTATCCATAAATCCTTAAGGTTTTCTAGGTCATTACTGACACTGTGTTATAATGATTACTGCTAATATAAAAGGTATTTTAAGGGCTTCCTCATGTAATTACCTGGAAGTGGTAATAAATACTGTTTAGTGTTTGTAATAATAGAAGCTCCTAATTTTAGGCAGTAAATAAGCAGTCTCATTTTGGAAACTTTGATTTGACTACCAGTGACTACCTTTTTAATTTTTGTTTTTGTTTTTCATTTTCCTTCCCCAGGCTATGAAAGGAGAGAAAGGAATTGGTGGAGCAGTCACAGCTACAGATGGACTAAGTGAAGAGCTTACAGAGGAGGCATTCAGTAAGCAGTGTTATGATACAAGTCATGCAGATTGTCAGCAGTGATTCATACGAAATGTTGGAGGTGTTATTTTTGGACTAGCTGCACTGAGTATTTTGACATTGTACTATTTTGAATACTTATTAGTTCATACTCATGTATTTGAAATCAGTAGATAATAAGTGTAGAAAATTTTAATTCTACACACATTATAATCTTTTACTGATTTTCCATAGCTCCTAGTTTTTGGTTAAAAGTCATGTGAAATAGAAATAATGAGAATCATAGTTTGTTATACAAAATCTTGTGGTTTAAATAAGTTTGAGCTAAGGCCTCTTATTTAAAAATTGGCTATCATTGTCATTGGTGAAATGAAAGGTATGTGGTAAACATATTTCTCATAAGTCATATATGTATGTGTTTAAGTCAGCGCCCAGCTCACCCTCACTGTGTGGTGTAGGCCTCACATGAATCAGACACTCCTTCCCATGTTTCTGAGATTGGTACAATGGGTGAGGATTCAGAAAATTGAAAAATACAATAGAAAAAAATGTGCTTTAGCAGCTTTAGCATATTAGGGAACATTTTAGAATGGAAAAATGTTAGGTTTATGGTTTTACCCACATTAAATAAGAGGCCAGATTGCAAGGAGACATCAATGGCATAACCTTAAGGTTCAGTCTGAGAAAGTAGATGGGATTTTTTTTCCTCTAACTTTTTTTTTTTTGTCTTAGCTAACCAATTACCAGCTGGCTTAATAACTGCAGATGGTCAACAACAAAATGTTATGGTTTATACAACATCATATCAACAGGTACAGTACCTTCTTTGTATTTAAGTTACTTTAAAAGTTGATTATATTCATTTTTAACACAGGTAATTTTAATATATTAGTAATGAAATAAAAGTTACTAAAAATTTCGTTTTCTCAAAGTACACAAAATTAGCTATAATATTCTATAACTGGTTAAAAATACATACAGACATGTTTATATTTACATAGACAATTTGTAGGAAAATACCAGAAATGATTAAAATAGAAGGAAGCAGATTTTTCATTATCTGTTGTTTTTAGTCACTGTTTATGATATGCATGTTACTTATAAACTATTTTTTTCCTAATTCTACTCAAATTTTTGTAATCTTAGATTTCTGGTGTTCAACAAATTCAGTTTTCATGATCTGAAGAAATTATGGGATGGAAGTGTAGAGAAGCAAGAGTCTGTGATTCTGGAACAGAGACATCAGAAGAAAATGACTGGTGAAAAAATGTCTCTTTGTACATTAAATAGCTGTAATGTAGCTTCCTGATGCTTGACTAATTGAGGTGTTAATTCTGACTTGAGAATCTTTTTCATGAATGATTTTAAAGAAAAATTTGGATTTTAAAGGTATTAAAATATTTTTGTTTTGTACGAGAGTTTGTTGCTCTGTATGACTCCTGTATGCATTGTATATTGCAATTTATTACTGTCAGAGATTTGTAGACAGTTTCTTATTTTCATATTGAATCATGTTACTTTTGTAATTCAAATAAGCAGCTGGGTTAATTCATGATGTTTGCCCTTTTAATAAAATATAAGGGTAGAGTTCATTTGAATGCAAGTTGCCTTTATTATAAATTTGAGTTTGTCTTGGCTATATATACTATCTTGCATGGTAACCTAGCTAGATTTTTACATTTGCCATATTTTATTAAAATTGATTTTTTTGGTAAAACATTCAAAGCAGCACCATTTTAAAAAATATAACTGAGTAATTGTGAATGCAGAAGAAATTATTGTCTGCCCTGTTAAACTTGGTGCCCATTAACAGTGTTTACACTGTTCATTGTGCCTGTTAATGTAGTTTTACTTACTAGAGCTTTCATTAAGACTAGATTTATTTTTGAGTTACATTATTATGAGTGTTAGAATTCATTTAAGTTTAACATAGTTCTAGAGCCCTTAAAATGGTGCCCCTTTTATTTGATATGATTTTTTTCAAAGCATATCTTCAAGTATTATAGTGTCCTCTTCCAGAAGGGGAATTTTATAGTCTGATGGTAAATGTCCTCATCTTACCTTTTTTTATTGAAATGTCAAGTTTCCTATTACACTATAGGAACCAAGAAATATTGGCTGTCATTATGTGTACAGACCTTTTGCACGGTGAGTGAATGAGAATGAGAACAGAGTGAGTGCTATGAGCAGTGTGAAATAGAAGCCATGACTTCTAGTGTGCTGTCTTGATCTTTGCAATAAACTAAACTTAGATAATGTAACTTTGTATAATTTAGTAGTATGTACTTGAGTTGTTCCTTTTTTAAAGTAAGGATTTGTATTTTCTCATTTATTCTTTTTGGTGATAATTAACTTGAAGTAGATTTTTTTTATTTTAATATCACAAATTGCTGTTGTATATTTTGCCTAAAAGGCAGTCTGAGTGAATGCCGTCTGTGATGAAGGACATTCAGATGTATAAGGCAGAGGCAGTCTCCCACTGACTGCCAGGAGCCTGTAAGGGCACATTTTGGCTACTCTAGGTAATAATTCCCTTCCTCCTACCCCCTTGTTTAAAAATAATCTTCATGATAGAAACTTCAAATAGGAAAAAAAGGGATGGTAGTTACGCAGAATCAACTAGCCTCCTACTATGTTGAAATAACCAATGTTAATATTTTGATAAATATCATTTGTCCTTTTACTTTGCAAAATATGTATATTTTTATAAAAATGGGTTCATTGTGCATACTGTTTTGTAACCTGCTTTTTTCACTTAACAATATATTGTGAATGTCTTTGCCAGGTTATGCAGTCTTCTGCATCATTTTTATTGGTTTATTATTCTATTGTATGAATGAATCATAATTTATTTACTCCTCCACTGGACATTTTGACTACTTACATCTTTTCAGTTATAAACAGCAGTTCACTGAATCATGTGTATATCCATGACTGTTTTCTTAAAATGAATTCTCAGAATTGTTGGCTTACCAGACATGCATAATTTTAAGGCTTTTGATACTTACAAATGGATGTATTTTAAAAATGTCTTCCATTTGATTCAGGCAGTATGTCACTATATAACTGATAAAAGCACTTGGTCTTTGGTTATCAGATTCATTCTCTAAAATTACTCTAAAGATTGGAATAAGTTTGAGTAAAGAATCAAGATAAGAAAGGAATTTCACAGCTTAAAATTGGTATATTCCAAAACAAACTTCCAAACTTTAGGTACAGTCATGTCAACGCTGAGTTATGTGGCCTTCATACACAAGAAAGGAAATCAACATTCTGCATGTTTCAGGCAAATACTGTCTTTTTATATGTGAGAATTAGGATGATTTTTTTACCTGGCCTGTGTTATATTTAATTGAATGTTTTGTTTTCTCCTCCTGAAACTTAGGATGTAAGCTGTTATGTTAACCTAAAAATGTTTTTTATGATTTTGTAAATATTGCTCTTATAAGTATCTAAGACAGAAAATGGGTTTCAGGGACAAAAAAAGGTAGAAGGGACTTGAATAGCTTGTCCCCTCACTATCTCACTATCTTGGAGCTTAGTGCACAGTGATGGTGGGGAGGGGAGTAGGGGGGGCAGGATACACAGAGAGAGAGATATCTTCTGTTAGTTTACTCCCTGTGAATGCTGGGCCAGGCCGAAGCCAGGAGCTAGGAACTCCATCCAGGTTTCATACATGGGTGCAGGGGCCCAAGCATTTGGGTCATTCTCTGCTGCTTTCCCAGGTGGCATTAGCAGTCAGCTGGATCAGAAGCACAGCAGCTGGGACCTCAGCCAGCACTCTGATTTGGGATACCAGCGTTGCAAGAGGCAGCTTAACCCACTGAACCACAGTGCTGACCCCAGGTTGTGTTCTTTAAAATCTACCTTCTTTATGGTAGACACTTTGGTATGATGGTGCTGGAAGCTATTTGTATTTCTTTTCCTCATACAGTGTAGAAATTATGCAGTGTTCTTCCTTCAGAAACATGCCTTATTGCCTGTTTTCTGGATTGCCTTAGTAGGTTATATGAATACTAGTTACCTAATTTTAATTGAACATAGTTGCCTGTAATGCCCAAATAAAAGGATTTCCATAGCAGTAGAAATTGGGCTTGAAAAGTGAAAAGAAAAAAAGTTCTGCTATTTGCCAAAAATGCAATCTTCAAAAACTCTGTGGGAAAATGGAATTAAAAGTTTACTCTGGTACAAAAAATTTTGAAATGCATGTATTATTTTTTCATAATATGCATTTTTCATTAATTTTTTGAACCCCTCCCTCAGATAATTTCTCACAGGGGAAGTTATCAACAATCCAAGACAGTATTGTTTGTTGCCTTATATGATTAAAATACCCTTGAGTCACTCATAATAAATGATATTGGGTAAGATCTATGTAAAAAACTTTAGTTTTTTTTTTTTTTTAAGATTTATTTATTTACTTGAAAGTCAGAGTTACACAGAGAAAGATGGAGAGGCAGAAAAAAGACAAAGAGAGGTCTTCCATCCACTGGTTCACTCCCCAGTTGGCCGCAATGGCCGGAGCTGTGCCGATCCGAAGCCAGGAGCCAGGAGCTTCATCTGGGTATCCCGTGCGGGTGGCAGGGGCCCAAGAATATGGGCCATCTTCCACTACTTTCCCAGGCCATAGGAGAGAGCTGGATCAGAAGTGGAGTAGCCGGGACTTGAACCGGGATGCCGGCACTGCAGGCAGCGGCTTTACCTGCTATACCACAGTGCCGGCCCCAGTCTGTTTTAAATGTGTATTTTTGGTCTTCCTGAATTAGGCAATTTATATAACAGTCTTCAAAAAGTTGATGGAAAATACATAGTATGAAAAGATTGCAAGTATTTCAAAAGTTTTTTTGCACTGAAATATACATCTTTTTTTTATATATAAAGATTTTATTTATTTATTTGACAGGCGGAGTTATAGACAGAGAGACAGAGAGGTCTTCCTTCCGTTCCGTTGGTTCACTCCCCCAAAGTGGCCACAGTGGTCGGAGCTGTGCTGTTCCGAAGCCAGAAGCCAGGTGATTCCTCCCGTTCTCTCATGCGGGCGCAGGTGCCCAAGCATTTGGGCCATCCTCCTCTGCCTTCCCAGGCCACAGCACAGAGCTGGTCTGGAAGAGGAGCAACCGGGACCAGAACCGGCGCCCATATGGGATGCCAGCGCTGCAAGCAGAGGATCAACCTAGTGCGCCATGGCAACGGCCCCTGAAATATACATCTTTTAATTCCATTTCCCATAAACATTTTGAAGTACTTGCATACATTTATGTAAGTTAATAATCTGTATATATTGACCTTAGATCTAAAGTAAGTCATAGAGTATTACAGGCTCATGAGTTAAAAAAATGGGACACCCCTCCACTGTTTGTCAAGGAGCTGACCTCACTGGCTGGAAACATGCTGGGTTATCATTTGTAGCTTCTTTTGGCGCTGAAATGTTAGTTTTGTTTACTGCAAGTTTGGCTCCCTCTTGTGTTCCATCCACTGATGGCTTCCTGTGCCAAGTTCTTTGCCTCATCCCTCCACCTGCGCTGGCCTTAAACATTTAACACTTTGCTCTGTCTACAACGGTCTTTCTCTTCCTCTGCCTAAGTCCCACTCATCCCTCAGGTTTTAGTTTAAATTCATCAGGAAAGCCTTTTCTGTACTAACTGCCAAGACAGAAAATAGCACCACCCAAATCTGGGTAGCCTGTGTGCTGGGTACCCCAGCTCCTCAGGTATTTCTTTCACGACTGTACTTTTGTACTTGATGTTAAGGAATTGTGAAGCCATAAGGCTGAATCCCTTCAAATCACAGGCCAGATGGCACTGGTATGGATTTGTCTCTCTGACTTCTTTCCATTGCCTTTAAAATAGAAACCTGAGGCTGATGTTGTGACACAGTGGGTAAAGCCACCTCCTGTGGCACCAGCATCCCAGTGGGTACTGGTTCAAGTCCTGGCTGCTCTACTTCTGATCCAGCTTCCTGCCAATGGTCTGGGAAAAGTATTGGAACATGGCCCAAGTGTTTTGGCCGCTGTAGCCACATGAGAGACCCAGATGAAGCTTCTGGCTCCTGACCTCAGCCTGGCCCAGCCCTGGCTGTTACGGCCATCTGGGGAGTGAACCAGGAAATGGAAAATCTGTCTCTCCCTATCCCTCGTAACTCTTTCAAATCAAAAGAGAGAAAGAGAAACTTGCTTAATAGTCAAGTGACACCTTTCCCTGACCTTACTTTAGGGACTGTTTCCGTTTACACTGCATCTTAAATAGCTACCTGTGCAAGGCAATGTATTGCCAAAGTTAATGCCAACAAGTGTGCTACATTAGAATAGTAAGGAGGCAGGCATTTGGTGCAGCATTTAAAAAGCTGCTTGTATACTGCATCCCGTGGCAGACTCCCTGGGTTCATGTCCTAGTTCCCTAATTCTGGCTTCTGTATGCATACCCTTAGAGGCAGCAGTGATGGCTTGAGTACTTGGGTTCCTGCCGCACATGTCGGAGACCTGGGTTGCATTCTCAGCCCCTGCATTCAGCCTGGCCCAGTCCTGGCTGTTGTTAGGCATCTGGGGAGTGAACCAGCACATGGCAGCTCTCCCCGTTTCCTCTCTTTGCCTTTCAAATAAACAACACATAAATAAAACTGAAAAATAAGAATAAAGTCAGTAAAATATGTACTGGCTTTGTTTGTAGAATTTTAACGGCCATGTATTAGTTTTAGGAGTGCACATGACATGTTAATAGGTAATTCCTCTATCTTCCATAAAAACACACTACGGGGGCCAGCGCTGTGGCGCAATGGGTTAACGGCCCTGGCCTGAAGCACTAGCATCCCTTTTGGGGCCCGGTTCGAGACCCAGCTGCTCCACTTCCAATCCAGCTCTCTGCTACAGCCTGGGATAGCAGTGGAAGATGGTCCAAGTTCTTGGGCCCCTGCACCTGTGTGGGAGACCCGGAAGAAGCTCCTGGCTCCTGACTTCAGATCAGCGCAGCTCTGGCTGTTGTGGCCAGCTGGGGAGTGAACCATCAGATGGAAGACCTCTCTCTCTCTCTGCCTCTCCTCTCTCTGTGTAACTCTTTCAAATAAATAAATCTTAAAAAACAAAACCACTATTATAAAATTCTGACACTATCGCATAAACTTGCTTCCTAAGGTATAACTTAGGGATTTTTTGATTGTCCTCTAAGAGGAAGCAGCAAGGTTTGTAAATGACTTTTGCACCTATTTTCCTAGGTGCCATTTCAGAGTACATCTGAAAGATAATTCTGAACCTTGAACCTTGGTGTCTGTCAGAAAACAAGTTGCTGGGCAGAGATAAAGCATAACAGAAAGGGCTGTTGGGCCAGGACAGGTCTGCCAAGGAAGCTCGCTCATGCATCCCTCATCTCCAACGTTAGCTCAATAAACCAAATCCAAATCCCCCTCCCCTTTTTTTAACACCAAAGCAAACATTAAGAAAAGAACACAAAGGAGTAATATTTGGGCCACTTAAGGAAATGGCAGAGACATTCCTTACTTGGAAGGAAGAGAGTTTCTTTAAAAATTTAGTTCCTTTCTGTACATTTCCAATCTTTGCAAGCAGCTGTGAAAGTGTTGTCTTGGGGCCAGAGCCGCAGCTCACTAGGCTAATCCTCCGCCTGCAGCGCCGGCACCCCAGGTTCTAGTCCCGTTTGGGGTGCCAGATTCTGTCCTGGTTGCTCCTCTTCCAGTCCAGCTCTCTGCTGTTGCCCGGGAAGGCAGTGGAAGATGGCCCAAGTGCTTGGGCCCTGCACCCGCATGGGAGACCAGGAAGAAGCACCTGGTTCCTGGCTTCGGA